CCACAGTGTTGCACCATTTTACAGTCCAACCAACAATGTAGGAGAGCCCCAGTCTCTCCACATCCTCCCCAGCATTTGTTTGCTGTTTTTCTGAACTTTTTTAATATTGCTGGAGTATGGTTATATCTTGCACTACTCATGTCTCAGTTTGTTGTACTGTGGTGGCTTGCATGTAGCTGTGATGGTGGAAGCTATGCCACTGGTATTTTAAATAATAGCAGAGTCACCCATGGTATACAGGTTACAGTGGAGTTTCCAAAGTAATACCGACTAGGTTGAAGGAGAGGTGAACTACTTCTGAAGATTTAGCCACTGAAAACCTTATAAATAGCAGTGGCATACTCTAAGATATAATGGTGGAAATGAAACATTATGAATAGCACAAGAATCTTGTTAGATTTAGTGCCTGAAGATGAGCCCTCCAGATTGGAAGACAATCAAAATAAGACTGGGGAAAAGATGCCTCTTCAAAGTTGAGCTGACCACGATGACCTAAATGGAGTAAAGCTTTTAGGACCTTCATTTGCTGATGGAACACAATTTTAAATGAGGAGAAACAGCTGCAAACATCCAGTAATAATCAGAACATAGATTGTACAAAGTATGAATCTGGGAAAGTTGGAAGTTGTCAAAAAAGAAATGGAATGCATAAACATCAATATTGATCCTAGGCACTAGTGAACTGAAATGGGCAGGTATTAGCCATTTTTAATATGGCAAGCAGATGGCTTATTATACCTGGAATGAAAATTCAAGAGAAATGGAGCAGCATTTATCATCTAAAAGAACATTTTAAGATCGGTATTGAAATACAAAGTAGTCTGTGATAGAATAATAGCCATATGCCTAAAAGGAAGACCAGTTAATACCACTGTTATTCAAATTTATGCAGTAACCACTGAAGCCAGTGATGATGAAATTGATGAGTTATGCCAACTTCTTCAGTCTGAAATTGATCAAACATGCTTTAAAAATGCATTGATAATTACTGGTGATTGAGGTTGGAAACAATTGGCCTTGGTGATAGAAATGATGCTGGAGCTTGCATGATAGAATTTTGCAAGATTAATGACTTATTTATTGCAGATACCTTTTTCAAATAATATAAAAGGTGATTATACACAGAATACACAGGAATCAAATTGATTACACCTGTGGAAGGACACAATATTACCAGCCAAAACAAGGCCACGGACAGACTATGGAACAGACTATCGGTTGTTCATATGCAAGTGCATGTTGAAGAAAGTTAAAACAAGTCTATGAAAGCCAAAATATGACCAGGAACATAACCCACCTGAATTTAGAGACCATCTGAAGAACAGATTTGATGCATTTGACACTAATGACTGAAAAACAGAGGAGTTGTGGGGTGACATTAAGAACATCATATAGGAAGAAAGCAAAAGGTCATTAGAAAGACAGGTAAGAAAGAAAAGACCAAAATGGATGTCGGAAGAGAATTTAAAATTTTGCTGTCCAGCATAGAGATGCTAAAGTGAATGAAAGAAATAAGGAGGTAAAAGAGCTGAAAAGAAAATTTCAAATTGCAGCTCGAGAAGACAGAGTCAAGTAAAAAGAGAACACATTTGGCATTTCTCATGCTTAAAGAGCTGAAGAAAAAAATCAAGCCTTGTTTAGCAATACTGTAGGATTCTATGAGAAAAATATGGAGCGATGCAGAAAGCATCAAAAGAAGATGGAAAGAATACACAGAATCACTGTACCTAAAAGAAATGTCAGCGTTCAACCATGTCAATAACCAATGCTACCTAAAGGAAGAAGTCCAAGCAGCACTGAAGTCATTAGTGAAAAACACAGCTCTGGGAATTGATGGAATACAAATTGAAAAATTTCAACAAAACTGATGCAGCACTGGAGGCCCTCACTTATCTGTGCTAAAAAACTTGGTAGACAGCTACCTTGTCAAGATATTGGAAGAGATCCATATTTGTTGCCATTCCAAAGAGGGTGACCCAATAGAAAGTGGAAATCATTGAACAATGCCATTAATATCACATGCCTGTAAAATTTTGCTGGAGACAATATAAAAACAGATACAACAGAACATTGACAGAGAGCTGCTAGAAACTAGGGATATCATTGCTGGCATCAGGTTGATATTTTCCAAAAAGATATTTGCCTATGCTTTATTGACTGCACTAAAGCTCTCGAATGTGTGGATCATTACAAGCTATGGACAACATTGTGAAAAATTTATATTCCAGGACACACTTAAATTGTGCTCATGAGGAACCTGTACATAGACCAAGAGACAGTAGTTGGAACAGAACAAGGGGACACTATGTTTTAAAACAAAGAAAGGTATGCACCAGGGTTGTATTCTTTTACCATACTTAATCTGTATGCTGAGCAAATAATTTGAGAAGAAGGATTTTATGAAGAAGAATGTGTCAGGATTGGAGGATGTGATATGCAGATGATAACAAACTTGATTGCTGAAAG